ATAGTGTCCAGTTTGCTGTCCATGTATATGCATGCATGGACAAGAGACCTGCCTTGAGGATCCGCGTGTTATCATCAATGACAACATCATCTAAACCCTCTACAGCAGCTTTGTCTACCTCTCTTCCCTCAAGTCTAACACTTCTATTTCTAATCTCATTTTCTGTTTCGGTAGCCTCCTTAAGTTCCTTCTCTAACCTTAAAGTGGATTCTCTCAACTTGCTGGAGCTCCATCTGCTCCCTGGTGAGTGGAGGTGGGAGCTGAACTGCAAGCCCGCCATCTGACTGGTTCCGGATCCTAGCGTACTGAAGATGGACTGCCCGTTGGCATTCGACATTTTGAACGACTGACCTGATGAGGATACCGCAAACGATGATGCTGAGGTAGCCATTGCTACCGCGCTAGCTGTTGCTGTTGCTAACGTCCTTTCTACAGCTGCTGCTGCTTCCCTTGCAGTCTCAAAATTACGGGTCCTTGCTTCGGCCCTTAACCTTCTTTCGTCTCCCGGTAGTAGAACCTGGAACACTCTGCGTATCCTACGTGTATCACGCAGTGTCTGCCTTCGGTCGTCAACTGTACCTTCACCACCTTCTAATCCACTCATCGACTATGCAGACACTGTCTGCACGAGTGTTCTTCCTGGAACCTACCGCGGCATGTGTCTGACCAGTTCTAAAAATAAGTAAAAATAAAATAATGTCTGGCAAGTAACCTAGGCTACCGTTCAAGCGATATCAACAACATTGACACAGAATGTACACATATTCTAAATCTACTTTGATTAGTTCTCTTACAGCGGCTTCAAAAAGAACTGACAATGGCAGAACATTACAGTCTTAGTCTAGGCTGTTTGTGAGGTGTTAGCAGTCTGTCAGCCAACTAATCAAAATAAAAATAAACTATGTGAGCAGATGCATGCACAATGGGTATAGTTGTGCTGCCAGTTGAGTCTCAATTGGAATCTTCCTCCCCTGTATCCTACGTGCCTGTAGCCATCATCGAGCAGCAGTGCCTAAGGTGTTCATTAACGGCCCACCCCCGTGCCCGAGGTGTATGCTTATGACCAGAACTGGCCGTTATTTATCCTCCCGTGCAACGAGGCTTACGTCTGACTGATCTGGCTGATCAAGAGGCATTTTAAGGACAACCGCCACGGTCCTCAGGAATCATTTAACGTTGCAATCAGGACGACGATCACAGCCAGTGGACAATTCAGACCCCCACCAGAAATATTTATAGATGGTCTGCATAGTGTCTGCATAGGACTGGTCAGTCCACACATCTGGCTGATGAAGAGGCATTTTAATTACAGCCCCCAAGGTCCTCAGATATTTAACGTCGCAATCAGGTCGACGATCACACCCAGTGGACAGTTCAGACCCCCGCCAAAAATATTTATAGACGGTCTGGATCGCGTCTGCATAGGACTGGTCAGTCCGCACACCGCTTCTATCAGCGCAGCAAAGAGCCTTTAAACCACCAGTACCTCGCCCAACTATATTTCTCCGACGCGGCCATTAACGCGCCAGGTCGGATGGGGGTCGTTGCAGTGAACGTCCGGTCGCAGAGAAAGTGGGCAAAAAACGGGATTAAAAAAAATATATATATATATCTACTTTTTGGACTTCCCTGATGTCTGGAGAGGTACTTCTAAAGGCCGTGGCAACTTGGTTTCTTTGCATGGTGTGTCTCACAGCTATATCGGTCAGGTTCGTTCTGTTGATTGTTTCATTTTTTGTTTTCCAGTTTCCTTTCTTTTAGATTTCCCTGCCAGCGAGGCAGGGTGTTTCTGTGATAAGCGCAGATGCCCTCGTTCAGGGCAACAGTCCAACTGGCACATCGACGGATGTACCAAGGCTCAGGAAGGAGTCCACTATAATATAATGCCAGAAATGTAAGATCAATTTCTGACAAGTTGCTTATAGAGTTTAGATGGTTGCACTTCGTGCCTCAAGAGAACCCAAAGGCAAACATGAAAAGAACTGCGGGAAAATCAATCTTCGCTTCGGGATAGTAGTCTCCTGTGGACCCTCGGTCAACCACAATGAAGGGGAGCGAAGTATCTGGGTTCCAGCCCCGTTTCAGGGCCAAAACAGCATTTCCTTTGTTTGTGTGTCCTTTGCTTTCAAGATTCTGACAACACGGGACGTTTCTTTTCTTTTCTTTTCTCTTTTTTCCTTTTTTTTTTTTCTTTTTTCTAGATTCTCACGCTCTCATTGAGAGCATGCTCTCACTACCACTTCCCGTAATGTATCCAACTGCATTCTCGTCACTAGCGTTGTTGTGTTTTTTTTCTTCTCTTTTTTTTTTTTTTTTTAACTGGTTCTTCAAGGCTCGACCTGTCTGGCTACTGGTACCTCCAGGCTCGGCAGGTTCGGCATACCGGTCCCCCAAGGGTCGGACTGCATAGCTGGGCGAGGTACTGGTGGTTTAAAGACAAAGCAGCATGGCCTGCGTGTCCTACTCCCATCGGTTGGCATGGTGACTGTGACCGGTGCTTTGACCAGGGTCCTTCAGAGGCACCGCCCTCTCCTGCCAGATCCGCCACCGGGAAGAATGTCGTCTCTCAAGGTAGAGCGCTCAGGACTCCTTACACAAAAGAGAGGACACTCAAGGTTGGACTCACTTCCTCATAGTAAGAAGAGATTGAGAGGGTAGATAAGGTTAGGGAACATCGTACGTGAAGATAGCTGCCCCCAACCACAGATTTCTCACCAATGCAGACAATGTGCATTTCGATGACCGGTGTAGCTTCGGTACCACCCACAGAGCCTATGTGCATTTCGATGACCGGGGGTAGCTTCGGTACCACCCACAACGCAATGCAGTGCCACCTCAGCCAAAATGCCACATCAGCCTGCTCTCATCATCATACATACATTCGCTGTCGCCACAGCCTTCCAGCGGCGAACCCCTCTACCCGGGTCCCGCATTAACAAGCCAGCACCATTCTCATTGCACAGAAGCATCGTCAGCGCACCAAGAAACAATGTCGCAAGCGCCAGGTAATGGCGACCACGAACCAGCTCCGATACCAAATTGCAAGGAAAATGAGTGAGAACGATATACAGAAAGCCAAGTTGCGAAATCACACAGATGTCCAAGTAGTCATGTACAAGCAGAGATCACAATTGCACCGAGATTCCATCCAATTAAGAGCAATACAATGAACTCATGAGCCAATGTTCAAGCCCTCAGGCCACGCCAACACAGTATCTAATGTTGCCCCTCTCTGTCTGGCGCCCACCGCCCAGCCTACACCACTCGCCTATCCTACTACATCCGCATTCACGCAACAGGCTCACTTCGACTTTAAAGACCAATGTACATGACTTCAACACCATAGCCAACCTCCCTCATGCACCAGATATGTATCTCGTCTCCCCTCACCAGACCCTGACCACCCACACTCGCCTCCTTCCTGAAAACCACTGATCACCTCTTACCCCCTAGCCCCCTGCAGCCCAGCTATGGCTGCCCAGCAGGCCCCTCTCACCTCTCAAGCGCCCGCATGCGCTCTGGCCACTAACGCAGCACGCAGCAGCGTGACCGCATTGCCTGCATGGGCCAAAATGCCTGACCCTGGCTGCCTCCTTCCCTATATGGAAGTGGCAGCCTCTGTTTCACTGTGTGTGGCCCGGATCGGAAGCTTCCAGTAGCTTCCGGTCGGGCCCCAGGCCCAGCTCTTCAGTTGAGGGCCTGGGTCAGTTTTGGTTGGGCACGCCCAGGATTTCCAGACTTGGGCTGTTTGCCGCATTTGCACAGGACCCCGAGGCATGTACATCGACCATGCTGCATTTTCGTAGGCCAGTAGCCACTTCTTGATGTATCTGCCTTGCATTGCGCGTGTGTGCCCAGGCGCAACTGCCAAGGGCTGGGCCGAACTGTACGCGCAGCACAGGGAGGCTCACGCTTCCTCTCAACCAACTGGCGTGCTGCAACTGCCTGAGTAACCATAACCACATATGGAAAATGTCAAATTTTGGCCTCTGCTGGATATTCAGGCCCGCCTTCACTTAGGGTGGGCACTGGGCTTGATGAGGGCCTCGGCCCAGAACATGTGCATGACTGATAAGGGCCCTGCAAGAACTCATTCCTCGCATGTATCTCTCTCCACACTTAAACCACAACTACCTACCGGTTGGGCGGCCGTTCACATGGAAGCCCAATCCGCCTGCCCCTCCGGTCCAAATTCTTCCAAGGACGGAGGGTACCAAAAATGCAGTGGGTACTGGTGTTTTTGGATGCTAGTATTTTCATAAAGAAACCCCAGTTCAATGGGCCTCGCTCCACTACTCTCCAAATGCTCAAAATGAGACTGAAACGTCCCGTTAAACATGGAAAGATACATTGCTGTATTTTTTGTCGTTTGTGCATGTGGAGAGTAGTGGAGCGAGGCCCGATACCGGGAGTTGATGATAGTTAGTAATTACCATCCGATCGTGACTGATTGCTTGGAAAGACCTTGCCTAAGTTTCCAGCCCCAAGCGAATTTGACGACCTGAAGCCATAAGCAATCAGTGGTTGACGAGGTATGGCTTCCCTCCTTTCCGGCCTGCATCGAATGTGCCTAGCTCTCTGTCACAAATGGAGCCATTGAGCTCGCTTGATAAAATCATCCAACATTTAAGCATTATTAAAATTCAACAAGATAGAGAACTTAAAATTGTGCTTGTGCACTGTTATCAGGTGTTCTTAACTGTTTTCACATTCTGGCTCCTCTGATGAAGTGTTCCACCTGTGCATTACTATTAGGTGTTCTGCATTGTTTTCACATACTGTAATATACTACCCAGAGGGGAAAAAAAACTCAAAATTGGGCTTCCTCTGCAATTTGCACCCAGAAAAAAAATACACTACTTCATGCGTGGATTGAATCCTCGCATGGTTTGCCCTGGGGTCCCTAACACATTTTAGAATTAACGCAGGTCTTAGGAAAATCACAGCAGAAGGGGGGGCAGCTCGGTACCAGGAGTGCAATCGCACTGGGAGAAATATACCTGCAATGTCCCGGTCCTGATGTTGGCCCGTGTCAAAAACCCACAGGCGAGCGCCTGGAAGAACGTTCACATCAGCCATAGTGGCCCTGTTATCATTTAGTTCCCTATTGCCGAAACCAAGCCTTTGGTTTTCCCTTGTTACCTGTCCAAAAAACATACAACACATCACATTCGCAACCCTGCAGGTCACTTTGCAGTTTTAAGCGTAATTACTAATTAATAATTATACTTTCAACTACATTCCACTGCCATTACCAGAAAGGTCGCTTGCAGTTTTAAGCGTAAATATTATTTCGACCTGCGTAGCATCGTGTTCGCATTCAGTGTCCGAGTGCACCAAAACCCTCCGAATGCGAACATCATTTTTGAAGTTCTCAGAAAAATCTGAAAAAAATGTGTTACGTAAAATAATAGGGAAAGTTGCATCTGTACTCTATACAAGGAAACGGCCGCTGGAACTTATTTGCATGCCCAGGACCGAGGTCGGCCCAGGTTGGTACCGCAAAATTGCGATTATAACCAACTGCTGGAATGCACAAATTAAGGACATACCCAGGCAAAATTACAGGCATACCAGGGGAGTACGGAACTGAGGTGGACCCTCCAAATTATTCACATACCCAACTACCGGATGACTGAAATTTTACCCTCTTACCCAGAAGCTGTTGGGCCGCGACGGTCCACTTGGTGGGCACGAGCAGAATTTTGTGATGCGCCCATTGCTGGGTGTGGGTACACCCACAATTTTGCCAGCTCGGTTTCTGGGCATAAGCATAAGTTCATGGTCTGGACTGAAAGGCCCTGTGGGACTGGGTACGCCCAGAATTTTCCCCAGGATACTATGCAACGTTGAACGGGTTCTGGGTATAGATGCAAATTGGCGCCGGGACTGGGTATAGCTGCAATCAGACTTGTCTTTCCGACTCTCAGCATGCATACAAACAGATGACGATCAAGCTGGCAACTTGCGCCCACACAAAGCTCAGAGATAATGAAGCCAAGGATGCAGCTCAGATTCAAAATTGTCTTCGTCGGCTATGGCCGACCTCTGTACTCTCAGCAACTTGTTCGTACACACACCCTGGATCTCCCTGGATGTCCCGCTCACACACACACTCACACACACCGAACACACAGACACTCACACTAACTACGCTACCAGGCAGCTTTGGCTGCCATCTACCTCCTAATACTAACTCAAGCAGCTATGGCCGCGTCTTCCTCCTCTTAGCCCACTTCTCCTTCGGGCACCTGCTGACCGTCATACACAAGACGCTCCGACAGCCGTTCCGCACGGCTCACAGGCAGAATGAATCCATGACTGATCGCTGCCTCTTTATTTATACCCTGGATTGTCGCTGATCTGCCTCTCTCCACTGGGCCCGGACTGCACACAGTCCCGCATGGTACTTGCTGACTTGACAAGGTGCGACTGGGACTGGGTACCGCTGACCGAGCAAGGTAGACTGCCCACTTGACCACTTGCCTACAGACTGTCTAGTAGGAGTCTGTAGGACTTATGAAGGACCAGTTCCGGACCTCCGGAAGACTGTGGACTTGGCCCTTCAGTACTGTAGCAGCTACTACTTGACCTTTCAACACTGTAGCAGCTACAACTCCAACCACTGCTAAGACCTCTAACCTACAGACCTACAGTTCAAGACCCGATGACCACCATAACTATAGCAAACAATCAGGCGACTTTCAAGACACAGGTCGCGGGTTCGAGCACACAGAGGTGGGCTGGTACTGTACGCGGGTAAGGGTGAGGTCTGGGAATCGAGCTCTGGGAACTCCAACTGCTACCGCAAAGGTGAAAACCATTTCATAGCCGGTATTCCCATAGTGGGTTACAAACACAAATTTCCCAAAATAATATTACTAGCAACTTTCGCCTTGGAGTCATCTCCAAATTCTTAGCCAAACGTGAGTTTAAAAAAAAAAAAAACTGAGTACGGACGCCGCCCTACCGGGCGGACCCGGGCAAACCGGGCGGGCAAATAAACAGCCCAGAATTTTTTTTATTTTTTTTTTTCAAGGTGGGGTCCTGTGCTCGGTGAGAGGACCCC